CAGTGTCTACAAGTAAGCAGTCAGGAGGGGCTGGGTGCTCAAGGGGTTCCCCCCAGGGCTGTGGGGGGACTCCCAGGGGGAAGCAGGGTCTGGGCAGGCACTGGGGCTGGAGAGAAGCGTGACAGGGGAGTGGGCATCAGAGAGGGTACAGCTAGGGGCTCCAGGGTATCCTTCAGACATTCACGGCTCTGCTCCAGCTCCTCCTCACTGCTCCTCTCTGCCCACGCTTGCCCTCTCCTCTGCCCACTCTTTCTATCTTTCCTTTTGCAGGCTGTGCCAAAGTGCCCCTGTCTGGTAAGTGCCCGGGCTCTGCACGCGTGTGCTCCCTCCCAGTGTGATGCTCCGACGGGAGTGGGCACTGCCCTGCCCCACTCGCTGCACCACCCCACTCTCTGCCCCTTCCACCCACCTCGCTGCCCCCATCCCTTGCCTGTCCCCCATGAGCCCTGCATGTGGGACCCCAGCCTGCTTCCCCCATTGCCAGCATCCCCCATGGGGTGATGGCACCCTCTGATCCCCACCTTCTGGGGTGAGGTGTCCCTGTTGGGGGTGACACAGCCTGCCCTGGGGCTTGGCAAGGGGCTGGCATCACCATCCTGGTGGCAAACTGGGTGGCTCTGGTGGGGGCGATGGTGCCCTGTCTCGCCAGCACCCAATGTCATGCAGTGCCCAGGCAGGAGGGGACTCACTGGGGCTTTCCCAGCTCCCCATGAACCCCAGGGCCATGGGGTGATGGCGGGGTGAGGGTCCCATGCTGGAGTGCTGCCAGGCAGGTGCTTGCAGGAGGCACGAGCCCTGGGGGGCTGCCGGCAGTGGGAACTAACGCCTGTTTTCCCTCAGGCGGGAGGATGCCCCCTCCTTGTGTGGGGACAAGCCTATTTTGAGGAAGTTTGAGTAAGTAGAGGCATGCGTGTGTCTCCAGGCATGCGCTTCCTCAGGCTGGTGCCCAGCTGGAGGCGTCTGGGCTCTGGCCATGCAGGGCATGAGGAGCAGGAGGGGTCCCCGCAAGTCTCTGCCCAGGCACCCTCCTGGGTTTTGCAGCTTTTGGACAAGGGTTGCAGTGAGCACCACGTCCATTGGGACCAACAAGTGATGGTGGCACCCTGACGGTATGAGCCTTTGGCTCCCATGGGGCTGTGGCATCCCTGTCCCCAAGCTGTGGTGGTATCACATGTCTCTCTGCAGGGCTCGGAGGAGGTTGAATCCTCTAAGTCCCTGATGCGGTGTGGCCAGTGCAGGAGTTTTCTGTGCTGCGGGGCTGGCTTTGCAGTGTGGCATGGTATAGTTTGCCCATCATCCCCATCCCTGCCTTGCTCCTGGCCAACGTCCACCCCTGTCTCACAGAGCTCGCTTCTTGGAGAACCTGGCCGCAGCCCAGAAGGAGAAGATCTCTTCCATGGCCAAGGGACGGTTTGAAATCCTCAGTGATGCTGCACTGGAGCATCCCACCACTCTTGCATGGGACAGGGACAGTGGCACCCCTCAGCCCGGGATGGAGCCACCCAGCATAAGTAGGTGCTGCCGGGGTGTGTGTTCCCAGCTCTGGGCACATCGGGGTCCCTGGGGTGGGTGTTAGTGGCCCATCTGCCCCCAGGCCCACACCTGTGATACCCAGAGCCATGGAGGAGCTGGGTGGTACCTCCCCATCCTGCTCCAAATGCCGGCATCTGAGCACACCCCCCTGCGGAGCAGGACCCAAACTCTGCGTGCAGCCCAGCAGCACCTGCCCACTCCAAGCGGGCTGTCCCAGCCTCTCCCTCTCTCCCTGCAGGGTCTCGCCTGGCTCGGCTGGACACCACTGACTCCTGCAGCACCATCTCCTCCGACACCAAGTTTATGCTGGACATGCTCTATGCCAAGGGCTCCTTGGAGCCGGGGAGGGAGAAGGTCTTCCCCGAGGTCCCGTCATCCCCCCTGGTCCAGGGTGAGGTGGACATGGATGCTGAGGGAGGTGGCAGCCAGGAGCAGGAGGGCACCTGGCTCCATGGCAGGGCTCCAGATTGGCCAGTGGCTAGTGCCCATGCCAAGCTGGCACATACCGTGTCCAGCGTAGGTGCCGAGACCCACACACAGAAGCTGGAGAACACCGGGATGATGGCTATCAAGAAGGACATGGAGCTGACATGGGAGCGCCTGGAGGCCAGCCCCGTGCAGCTGAAGATCAAGGACCTGGACTTCACTGATTTGGGGGAAGAAGAAGACTTCGACATCCTGGACACGGGGCCCACAGCCAATGGCTCCTTCCTCCCTCCCGGCATCGAAGCGATGAGTGCTGGAGCTGTCATGGTTCCCCCTCCACCTCCTGTGGTCCCTGGCTGCCCACCACCTCCACCTCCACCTCCTCCGGTCCCTGGCTGCCCACCACCTCCACCTCCTGCGGTCCCTGGCTGCCCACCACCTCCACCTCCTGTGGTCCCTGGCTGCCCCCCAGGGCTGCCAGGCCCCTCAGCAACAGATGGCCCCTCCCAGGCCAAGAAGAAGAGGACAGTGAAGCTGTTCTGGAAGGAGCTGAAGCAGCTGGATGGCACTGTGGGGCTGGGCAGGTTTGGCCAGGTGACACTGTGGGCGTCCCTGCAGAACATTGAGGTCAATGCTGCCAAACTGGAGCATCTCTTTGAGTCACGGTCAAAGGAAGTGCCAACTTCAAAGGTACCAGTGGGTGGTACCAATTAGCCAAGGGGACTTGAGGGGTGGGAGGAAGTCTGTTAGTTCCTGTGGGGATCCTAGGCATGCACTATCACCCCTACCCTATGCTGAGGATGGGTATCTGCAGCGCAGAGGCTCGGTGGGAACGGTGAAGGGCACTGCGCAGGTTTGGCTCTCCACTGGGTCCCTGATCAGCTCTCTGTGTCCATGGTGTTGTCATGAAGGCCAAACCCTTTGCCTGGCTGTCCTCTTTGCAGAAGGCCATTGATGGGAAGAAGGTGGTGGTAGTGCTGGACCCCAAGAGGAGCAATGCCATCAACATTGGCCTCACGGTGCTGCCACCTGTGCATATCATCAAGACAGCCGTGCTCAACTTTGATGAGTTTGCAGTCAATAAGGAAGGGATTGAGGTAAGCACAAGAGAAGCTTGGCCCCTCTAAGGTCCTCATACAGGTCGCGTCGCCTAGCCACGAGGCCTCTATGCCGTGATGCCTGCACTGCCACCCCTGAGGTGACATGTCCAATGGTGACATGTCTGGAGTCTGACACATCCCTCTTTGCCTGCTTTAGAAAATTCTGACCATGGTCCCAACTGAGGAGGAGAAGCAAAAGATCCAGGAGGCCCAGCTGGCCAGCCCTGATGTGCCCTTGGGTTCTGCAGAGCAGTTCCTGCTTGCCCTGTCTTCCATCAGCGATCTTACGGCCAGGCTCCAGCTCTGGGCCTTCAAGCTGGACTATGAGAGCCTGGAGCAGGTACGGAGCCACGTACCCCATCTGCCCTCCATCCTCCCACCGCTGTCAGCCCAGCACTGCTGAGCGCTGAGCCAAGCATGTTCTTGATGGGGGCCAGCCATGTCCAAGTATGGGAGGTGCCGTCCTGGCTGGGGATGGGCTGCAGGTCCCCAAAGCAAGCATGGGCTTGGGTTGACCATGAGGTGCTTGTCCTCATGGGCAAGGGTGAATGCTGAAGCTCCCAAGGGAAAGGGTGGCCAAGGGGTCTCACCTGCCTCTTTCCTCACCCAGGAGATTGCAGAGCCGCTCTTTGATCTGAAGGTGGGCATGGAGCAGCTGGCCAGAAATCACACGTTCAAGTGCATCCTGGCCACACTGCTGGCCATGGGCAACTTCTTGAACGGCTCCCAGGTGAGGAACAGGGTGCAGAAGGACATGGCCTGTCTTGAGTGCTGCAAGGACAGGACCAGCCATGGTGCATGGGTACCCAAGAGGGACCATGGGAAGCCTGGGATGGTGCCTGAGGCTGGGTGGTGTTGGTGGGGGTGCAGTGGGTCTGCAGACTGGAGGTCTGCTGGCGGAGTGATGGGATGGAGAGGCCCTGCTGAGTCCATTGGGGTTTCAGAGCAGAGGCTTTGAGCTGGGCTACCTGGAGAAGGTCTCGGAAGTGAAGGACACGGTGCACCGGCAGTCGCTGCTCCACCATCTCTGCCAGATGGTGGTAGAGAAGTTCCCAGAAACCACTGACCTCTACTCGGAGATTGCTTCCATCACACGCTCTGCCAAGGTGAGGCAAGATAGATGACACCCGGCCAAGGCAAGGGTGTGGGTTCCATGGCTGCCCAGCTCCACCAGCAGAACCAAGGGCTGATGTCTTGCTCTTCCAGGTTGACTTTGATGAGCTGGCCAACAGCCTGGTGCAGCTGGAGCGGAGGTGCAGGGCCTCCTGGGACAACCTGAAGGTGATTGCCAAGCATGAGACCAAGCCGGTGCTGAAGAGCAAGCTGACGGACTTCCTGAAGGACAGCACCCAGCGCATTGTCGTCTTGAAGGTCGTGCACAGGCGAATCCTCAACAGGTTGGTGGCTCAAGGTCGTGGGGACACAGGGGGACACCTGCCACCTGTTGGTGGCCCACGGTGACCAATGTCCCCACAGATTTCACTCCTTCCTGGTGTACCTGGGGTACCCAGCAAGCGTGGTGCGGGACATGAAGGTGACGCCTATCTGTAAGCTGTTGCGGGAGTTTGCCCTGGAGTACCGCACCTGCCGGGAACGTGTACTGCAGCAGCAGAAGAAACGGGCTGCCCACCGTGAGCGCAACAAGACCCGGGGACGGCTCATCACTGAGGTACAGGGATGCTTGGCTGGCTGCCACCACCAGATGTTGCCCCCCCAGGTCCCCAATGCCCACCTCTCCTCCCACTGCAGACCGAGAAATTCTCTGGCATCGCTGAGGCCACTTCACCACCTGCCATGGTGTCCAGTGGCCCCAAGGAGCAGATGGAAGCAGGTCATGAGAGTATGAAGAGCCTGCTGACCTCCCCCACGGATGCCCCTGCCCGCCGCAACCGGGCCAGCCGGGGTAGGAGCGGGGTGGCAGAGGCATTCAAGGCATGCCCGGCTGGCTGGGCACAGCTGATGCCAGCATCCCCATTGTCCCCGTGCAGGGACAGGGCACACCACCCCTGCCCAGGGCTCTCCAGCTCAGGAGGACGTTCCCAGCTCCCCAGACGATGCTTCGGATGAAATCATGGACCAGCTGGTGAAATCGGTGACTCACAACGCCAACCCCCGGCCCTGTGCCAACAAAGAGCGCAGGAGGTCCCGCGGCAATAGGAAGTCCTGTAAGTCCCATCCCTGCCCCTGTGCCCTGTCCCATCTCTGTCCCCATGCACTGCCCCTGTCCTCTGTCCTATCTCTGTGTCCCTGCCCAGATGCTTTTTCCCATCTCTGTGTCCCTGTCTCCTTGCCCTATCCCGTCTCTGTGTCCCTGTACCCTGTCCCTATGCCCTGTCCCATCTCTGTGTCTCTCTTATGTTCTGCCCTGTCCCTGTACTCTGTCCTGTGTCCCTACCCGGATGCTCTTTCCCATCTTTGTGTCCCTGTCCCATCTCTGTGTCTCTGTTCCCATGCTCTGTCCCCATGCCTTGGCCCACTTCTGTGTCCTTGTCCCCATGCCCTTCCTGGCTCCTTCCCCTCTGGCCACCCCTGAAGTCCCATGCTGAGCCCACCAGGCCACAGCAGGAGGTACCCTGAGACCAGACCATGCCACTGCACCCTATTGCTGCCCCTCCCCAGCATGCCAGGGCCACTATGTCCAGGCAGGCAACAAGTGCATGGGGACCCTGGCAGCCAGTGCTGTTCGTGCTGCTAGTGCCATGTTCTCCTCTTCCCCAGTGAGACGGACGCTGAAGAGCGGGCTCAGCGATGACCTGGTGCAGGCACTGGGCCTGGGGCGGGCGCCTGGCATGGAGGTTTGAGGGGGGCCGAGGGGGCTTGTGCAGCTCCCCACCGCTGGCAGCCCCCAGGGCAGGATGTGGTGGCAGCCCCTGCTGTTCCAGGACTAGAACGCTCTGCACCCTTGGCCTCACCTTGCTTTTCCCTGCTAGTCTCCAGCTCCTGGAGGTGCAGGCAGCAGGATGGGAGTGATGCCCTGGAGCTGTTCCATGGGGGCCAGGATGGAGGATGCTCGGCGCCCGTGCATGGGCGTGGAGGCTCAGGGTTTGTCATCTCAACAGTATTAGAGGGGTCAAGGGGCTGGACCCAGACCCCACTCTGGGAACTGGGTCTGGCCCGTGGCTGCTGTGGCAATAAAGTGATCTGACATGCTGCCTGTGTCCCTTGTCCCTTTGCCCAGGTCACCCTGCTGATGGGCTGAGATTCTGGAGGCTCTTGATGCCATGGGCTGGAGCAGGCAGTACCAAGAGTGGTGGCAGGGGGGAGAAGGGGTGATGTTCCCTTCGGCATCCCTGGGGAAGCCATCACCATGGTCCTGAGCAGGACCTGGGTGCTGATGGAGATATTGCAGGGTTGGCCCTGCCTGGGGAGCCCAGTGTCGACATGCCCTGTGGAGCCCTGAGAGGCTGGGGCAATGTGGTACTTCCCCCCACGTGGGCCAAGCCAGCATCCCTCCTGCTGCATCCCCAGCCCTGCTGCCCTGGGCAAACACTTGGCCCACAGCAGCCAGCCCTGGGGCTTGCAGGCACCATCACCCCTCCCAGGGACAGCACAGGGGTCCCCCAGGAGGACCCTGCCAGAAGGAGTGAGGACTGCTCAAAGGCAGGAGCAGAGGCTCAAGTGCAAGGCTGCAGCACAGTAAAATCAAGAGTATATGCCCTGTCTCAAACATCACCTCTCCCTTACAAACTGCTCCTGGGGGATTTTAGCCAGACTAGGACCTGGGTCTGAGGCAGGGCTGTTCCCCTCCTGGAGCAGGTCCAGGGCACAGCAGCCATGTTGCCCCCTGCAAACCTGGCCGTGGCCAAGCTGCAAGCCTCAGAAACATCTCCCTGTGCTTGGCAGAGATAGGCTGCCTCATGATGTAAATGCAGTCAGGGCAGCCTCTGCCTGTCCCCGGGGGGCCTGGGAGATGTCCAGGCAGGAACACATCACCTCCTGGTCCAGCACCCCTTGTGCGGTCCTGGGCACAGATTAAAACCCAGCTGGATGCTGGCCGCAATACTCCCCGCCGGGTGCTAGGTGGTGGGCGGGTACCATTTCTGAGCATCTCCCTCTGCCAGCTGCAGTGCTTTGGGCACTGTCACCCATGGCAGAGGCATTTGGGAATAATGTCAGGTCATCCATCACAGCAGCTCCACCTTGGTGCTGCCCTGGTGCTGCCTCCCCTCCAGCCCTGAATCCTGTGCAGCAGGTCTCTGTGGCTTTCAAGGAATGAAGAAAAACTCTACTGGGCAGGGTAGCTTTTTCCTCCCGGCTAACCTCTGCCCAGGGTTGTCCCTCTCCTGCGAGGCTGGATGTGCCGGTGGCCTCGGAGGAGCTGGGCAGTGCCAGGCCACCCCAGCTTGTGAGGTGCCTGCAATAGTCCCAGGCGGCTTTGGGGACAGGGGGCTGCCATGCCAAGAGCTGCAGGTGTCCCACAGGTGCCCCAAGACATGGTCTGGCTGTCTTCCTCTCCGGGTGCTTGACTTGGGTCCCCAAAGAGAGGATGAAGAGGTCATGAAAGGCAACATTGAGCTGCTCAGATGCACAGTGGGAAGGAGAAAGGGGTATAAAAGCATCTGCACCTGCCCCAGTTATCCAAAGTGATGTTATACATGTGACA